ACTCGTAATTTGGGGAAAATCTTAGGACCAGAATTAAAAGAGTAGGAAAAGCTTCGACAAGTTCATAAGTTATTTACTCTATTTTTGCAAAATATTAGGGCGTCATAATAGTAATTATTGGTAGTATGTATACTTAATTACTGGAATTGTTTTAGTATGTAGAAATAACTTTCAGTGTTTCATTTATATGCGCATTTGAGACATGGATTTGAGTTTACATAGAGATTTATGTAGATTGTTAGCTAGACAGATTAATATTGTAATTCGCTGGTTGGTTACTTCGTAGTAACAAGTACATTTAGTAATGCGTTATGTTAGAGCTTACGCATGTGTGAATTGGAGTTTGGAGAAATGATTGAAGCATGTAAGATTAGTTACAATAGATGTATGAATATATCAAAGCATAGATATTTAAATATTTGATATTTTGTATGAGTTGTAATGTAAGAGATGTGTCAGATTATTGTGATATTGTCAGTATTGGGAATATGAGTATGTACTGATGTGAATCAATTTATTGTTGAATGTATACGAGTAATTGATACAATGCTTTAATGATGTTGTGTTATTATTGCTAAATGCCAGGGATCTTTGCTTGACCTAGCGGTGTCAAAACCCTGGCGCGATTCCTGCTAAAAGTGATAAATTTACCCCTAATTTCTAAAGACTTATATACAACTTCAGTTGCAAGATAGAAAGCCCGACCTGTCCATTCTATACATAGATTTTACTCTAATCAATGCAAGACCACATTATTCACAACTTCCCAAATATCTATCAACTGCATATCTGCATAGATTCTCTTAATCAACTTCCGTACCATCAGCAGTTCACGCCAAAGAAACTCTACAACTATCCCCTAACACCGGGAACTATTTTAACTACGCCACCTAAGGCCAGTCAGTCCATCGTTTCAAGGTACATCACCCTTGTACAATTGCATCACTTTTACCACTATGGCGACATAAACGGTATCTTCCGACTTCCGAGTCCTTTCTTGTTTATTCCATTCTATAATTTACCGGTTTCCTACCGTAATTACTGCCACTGCAGCCACAATACCAATGTACACCAATAGATTTTAATAAGGACAACATTATGACATGGACAGTCTGCGGGTTGGGTCTGAATTTGCTACTCATTGACCATGGCATCATCGAAACTCACTAACACTTTCTCACCGTGACGTTTGCTCCTAGTAATTGGCTTATTATTTTGGGCCAAGGAATATTTCTCATTGCACCGAATTTCAATATTCAAACAAGTAATCATACAAACCTAAGAATTGCTTAAAAGAGGCGCTATATTACATTATGTTATGTTTTGCCATACAAGAATATGTGCGAATTTCGGTGTGAATGAATGCGTGACCGGTGAACTTATTTAATAGCCGTTATCTGATGATAGGCTGTGTATACTGTGAGATGTGAGCGCTGAGGAACATATCGTACCATCCTTGTGTTTTCACATGAAGCTTTTCGGGTGACAGAACTTCCGGTGCAAGTTTGCAGTCTCGAGTATTTAAGAGGGAGACGGAAATGAGTGCTTTCTGATTCGACGAAGTGTAATCGACATAAAAAGAGGGATAGAAGGTGGAGGAGGAGGAACTTAGTCTGGATGAGGAAATAGAGGAGGAGGAGAATGAACGTGGAAGGAGTATGGGAGGAAGAGAGGGAATTAGGAGATAAAGAAGAATACACGGATGAGTAGTACACAAGGGCAAGTGGAAATCTTCTCTCACACAACGAATCAAATGATGCGATAGGCTAATAAAGGATCCAGCGGAAGAAGTGTATATGGGAAATTTGAATTATTGACGATTTAATTGTTATTAAATTGTTATTATTAAACTTCACAATTATTTGTATCTTAAATCATTTAACCTTCTGCATATCTGACTGGGGGCTCGGACCTCTAATCTAACTTTCACTAAATCAACTTCCCAAAAAAATCGAGTTTAGGTGGGACTTCTACAATAATTTAAATAAATATTAGATGCACCCCACCCACAGTCCCCAACAACCAAAACCTTTACAAAATGTCCTAAAAGATATGGAAGTAATAGACGTAAGAACCATCAACCGCCTTTGTGATGTGTCGAATTTTGAAAACTCTTAGAAGCATTGGTTCAATGAATTGTATCAAAGTCAACTTAATTAAAGTAGAAAGGGCAAGAGATAGTTATATGATTTTTTTCGTTTCATCTCTGAACGTCAAAGAAAATTTGTTCCACGCGACGAAACTTGACTGAGTCATATGCTATGGTACAAGGGTATGACATAAGACCCTTTCCCAAAATCAACCGGTTAAAAGGTGAAGCTTATCAATAATCGATTGTTCAAAAGAACGTTAATTACGGCATGATTAGCTGTCTTGACAATCAAAAATTCTGCTACAGAGAAGATTTAGTAAACAGTCGATTCTGATTGGTTAATAGCGATTTATGAGCGTAACTCTGTAAGGAATTAGGTGTTTTGCTTTGGAGAAATTCTTCAGTCTTCAATCTTTCTTGAGAGAAGTTAGACCGGACTCCGAAACGTAGCAAGTACGTTTTCGTTATTGAGTAAGAGGCCGGATAGTTGTCTCAGATAGGAGACAGACTATACGTTTGAGGTTCGTAGAAGACGAATAAGAAACGGCAAAGGTACGCAATATTAGTTTCCAGATTTTAATATGTTTCATTTGTTGATTTATTTGCAAATGTATTATGTTATGATGTATGTATGTATGATTTCATTTTGCAGGGTTTTAGTGAAATGTTAGTCACGGCATTTTATCCTTTGATTTTCTAATTATCAATTCATTTGGAGAATTGACAAGGTTGCATGTAATTGAATGTCCATTGAGAGAGTTGACAAGATTGCATGTAATTGAATCTTTAATACATAGGAGTGCTTAGGAATTTTCAAGAATTAGGCTTAATAAATGATGGTTAATGTTTCGTAGTTTTATGAATTAACTCTCTGTCTAGTATGACATGTATTGAGTGTATATTCATACTAGTTTGTAATATTTAATTGATCACGTAAACTATTTTAAAATAGTTAGATTTGAGGGGCTAAGTCATATGCAGTTTAACACTACTAGATAGTTTAATGTAAGAAGTCAAGGGGTGTTAAATACGGGCACATACGTCTTAGCCAGGAAGTGGAATTTAATGATCTCCTCTAGCGTGACCCGAATTAAGGCCAGTAAATGCAATGACCGTCTATGTAGACATAGGAATTAGTGAACGTGAGTGCAACATAATTCATGCCTTTTGTTTTCTGAGCCGAATTTATGTAAAAATATAGATATACTTGGAAATGTGACCTATTGTCTATTGCGAGACATTTTATTTATTAAAGGAAACAGCTTTCCTAAACTTTTTCTGAAATTCCTGAGATTCCCTGAAAATTTATGTACCATTTCCAAGTACCATATCAAATTTTGAGCCGAAGTCTAGGTCCAGGGACGATCGTCAAATCAGAGTTCGACTGGCAAGAGTCCAGGTCCAGACGACTAGGCAAAGGTTGACAGAGCAGGGACGAACGGAAGATTCGGTGTCTGGATAAGATAGGTGACAAGTAATTTTAACAGTAAAGAAAATTTGTATTGTTTTTTTTTTGTTTATTTGAGTACATGTAAGTGCATTTTTACCTCTTTTGTAACCAAGTAATTGATTTCTTTTCATTTTAAATTATGTTGTTAAACTGATTAAATTTTATATTTGTTAATTGAAAGGGGGCTCGTTGTGTTTATTTCTTCAATATACTTGTTCAGAGATCTGCGTTCTTCTTTCTATCTATCCACAATGGGTAAATTACACCGCGGGATGTCATTCCCTAGCAACGAAGCGTAGTGGAAGAGGTTGGTGTGTATTGAATGCCACCAATTTATCACAGCCTTATGAGAGGAAAAACCTTATCAAAGGACAGTTTCGAAAACTATCTAAAGGACCAACGCAACCGCAACAACAACTGCCCGTATTGCCCAGTCCCGGAAACACTGGATCACATCTTCAACACATGCCTCAGATATAAAACTCACCGCAGCAACCTCATGGAATACTTAAAGAGGATAGGCTCACCCACAACGTCAGATCGGTAACGGCAAGCGCTTTAGACCACTCGGCCACCTAAGGCGCCTTACTGCAACGGGACGAAGATCAGCCACAGAAACAACATTACAACTTTTATGAAAACAGAGATTTTACACAAATCAAAACACACACACACACACACACACGCGCGCGCGCGCACACACACACACTGATGTCACCCGACAAAGAGACCGGCGATAAATTTTGTCACGAGTCTTGTATCGCGAATCTAGTAGGCAAGGCTGATAATTAAAATTTTATGATACCTTAAACCAGCTACACCAATGGCAATAATATCAACACATCCACAACTTATGTCGCCGGAAGTGATGCATTCCGGGAAATGTAATTTGTATGACGTGTACTTTTTTCAAACGCCTTAGCCCGATATTCGACTGAGGTGTTTGAAGTTATCAGCAGCGCTTGGGATAAATATTTAACAGCGACATTACTCTGTAAACCAGCTGACTTTAGTGCGTTGTGTAGTTTTGTATGAAAAATATAATATAGGTTTTTGACCCAGCATCAAATCTCTCTCTCTCTCTCTCTCTCTCTCTCTCTCTCTCTCTCTCTCTCTCTCTCTCTCTCTCTCTCTCTCTCTCTCTCTCTCTCTCTCTCTCTCTCTCTCTCTCTCTCTCTCTCTCTCTGCGACCTTCCTGGTGGCCTAATGGTTAGAGCATCTGCCTCGCGCGAGAGGCAAGTTTTTGTACCATTTTTATGTCTTTATTCTCTCTCTCTCTCTCTCTCTCTCTCTCTCTCTCTCTCTCTCTCTCTCTCTCTCTCTCTCTCTCTCTCTCTCTCTCTCTCTCTCTCTCTCTCTCTCTCTCTCTCTCATTACGACCTTCCTGGTGGCCTTAATAGTTAGAGCATCTGCCTCGCGCAAGAGGCAATTTTTTGTACCATTTTTATGTCTTTTTTATGACTTGGCCGGGGTTTGAATCCGCGAACCTCCCGCTTCCGAGGCAGATGCTCTAACCATTAGGCCACCTGGAAGGTCGCAGAGAAGAGAGTATTGTAATTACAAATACTTAACTGGCTGCCAATTAAATAAACAATTTTTTTTTAGTTTTTAAAACTTCACCAGAAAATATGAAAGTAGAAAATATTTTGTAACTTTTTCAACAGTCCCTAAAATATGTAAATGTGAGCACCTACACGTACGTATTCACACCAGTGAGTTCATAACCTCAAACCATAAGAGGCACTGATGTTGCACTAATAACTAGTAAAAGCAACGCTACAACTACATGTTTAGGGGTTAATTCAAAGATAAATGTGGATCTTTTGGACTAGGTCAGTTTTTGCAAAGTTTTAAACCTAAAATAGATATTGGCATAAAGGCAGCTGATTAACTATTTATACATATTTGTAATTACAGTTATGTAATCTAAGTACTAATATCAGTTACAGTTAATAACAACGTTTAGTTTCATCTGCACGTTTGCGAAGACATGTGGCCAAAATACATGGTGTAAATAACAAGATGAGCAATTAAACCACAACCATTTATATTATAACTGGTCAGTGCATTGAATACCATACCCACTCCCCGTGCCATAAGGTCAGTATTAATATAAATATAAACCAGTCACATTTTTACGTTTAACTCTTAACCTGCTAGATATTTTTAGTGAAACTTGAGTTGTTTTGTCTATCTCGACCTAATGGTGCATCGCGTATTTAGCCATACCCCTCTCTCTACGTCACAGCAAAACTTAACATAAGTGGCATATTGGCATACTGGCTCATCCAGGCTGACACTTTTGAACCAATACTGTTATACAGTTCTAGGCTCGAGCTCAAATGTCACGTTCATTAGTTGGGAAAATATCGGGAGATTGGCGTTAAAGGCCGGAGTAAGAATTTGGGGGATGGGGGTCACTGAAAACTGTCCGTAAACTTTATTTTATATATATAATTATTAGAGCTATATTAGGATAATATTAGACGGTTTAGACCTATATATGGCTTATTTAAACACATGTAATTTAATTCAAGGGAATCCGGAAGGCCCTGTGACTTTTGGGTGGGGCACCTGCCCACAGTGCCCCACCCCCTTAATCAGGCTCTGACTGCGCTTTGGATTATAGTCGCTTACTGCCTGATCGGCATTCGTACGACTGGTTGTGGCTCCGAGCTGGGCGTATGTCCCTTTAAGAGGGCGCTTGGCCCCGAGCTGGGCCTTCTGGAACTTTGAAGAGGAAGGACGCCCTCCCCCCTCTCCCCGAGTTGGCATACAGGTATTATATACCGCTCGCGGACGCAGCGCGAGGCTTTGAAGCGCCTGAGGGAAATAATGTTTAGTGGAGTCCCTTCTGTACTACAGAAAACAATTTTTATATTATTTCCAACACCCCTCTCCACTCTCACATAAAATACAACTTTGTGAGGAATTGACATGGTCAAACTAAAGCGAAGGAAAATGCTATGAAAATGTTCAGATTTTAAAAAATTAAGTCCCCGACTGCTACCCCCGACATCCATTCCTTTTGCCACTGCTTACGCGACTGCTGTACGATAATTAAAAATTACTTTCCAATGAGCCAAGTCACAGAATAAAATTATAGCAAATAGACGTAACGGTTTACAATTTAAAATTGGCTGCAAATCACATATATTACGTGTGGCTGACACTAATTGGTTGAACCTGGGGTGGGGTTAATCCGACTTATTCGTATTTCAACGGATGAATTTAGAAGTTATCGTAAAGACGATTATCGTAAGAATGTGAGCTATTTTTAATTGTTTCTTTATACGCTGCTATAAATAAAGCTGTCCTAATGGAGCTTTTAAACAAAATAAATGCCAGCGAATTAAAAGAGGCGGACGTGGGTTAAGGTTATATATGGCCGAAGAAAATACCCAGAAAGATCCCTGGGGAAAAAAAACACCTTCACCAATCCACGGGAAGCAGCTGACGATCTTTCTTACATACCCACGCTAGCCTAACCGAAATTCGATACAACGGGAAGAGAGGTGAGATGTCAGTGATCGGTAAAAGAGAAAAACTCGGTCCCCCGGGACCTCAAAGAGATAAAAAGCGATAGACAGGTAGATGGAAGGTATGTTGATAGATAGATAGATAGATAGATAGATAGATAGATAGATAGATAGATAGATAGATAGATAGATAGATAGATAGATAGATAGATAGATAGATAGATATTTTACCCTGGCAGATATAAAAAAATACTCTGTTGGTCTTGTTTGGTATATAAACAAGTATTAGAGACTGACAAACCAGCGAGTAACGCCCTCCGTGTGTCATCAAAGTTCAAGTCTCCCTAATGTATATTTAACATTTCAAGTCATTGTAATATATTCTTTGCAAGCACAGTCACACCTGTATTGCAATTAGGTATAATAAAAACATATTTAGAAAGTCGTTTGCATATTATAAAATGCAATAAAATACTCCTTATCATTTCACTTACCTTTATGCCATTTCCCCTTTCGATAGAGTTTTCTGTAAGAAGATCATGTCCCAGTACTACAAAGGTCGTTCCTGTAATGAACGTGTCTTAGGTACACGACTCATGACATTAGACAAGGGGCGTTGCGATTGATGTGCAGATTTTCTATATAAATATAATTAATTGGTCAGCTATTTATAGATATAGTTCTTAGGACTGTGGACTACATACAACTGATTTAAACAATCCCAAACTAAATGCAAAACAGAAGATTAAAATAGATCATGCGTGTCATTGTATATTAACATATGCATATCTATATAGTTATTTGTATTACAGTCAGTCCGTACGATGTATCATTTTAGTATCATTTTTATGATATCAAATATCATTTTATACTATGTCGAATTTTCATTTTTATGTCCAAATTGAGAAATTTGTTGCCCACGAAATCTTTTTGCACATTTGCTTTAAAAAAAATTTAAAAATGTAAAATTTATTTTAAAAATGCCATCTTTTATAGCAAATAAATTAAATTATGGAGTGTAAAGACCCCAAATATTTAATAGTAAGCTTTCTTTTTGTTATAAACAGTCGAATCAAATGTACAGTAGAGCCTTATAACATCACTGCTCAAATATCTCTCAACCTGTGAAGAAACTAGGGTAAACGAGAGAGAGAGAGAGAGAGAGAGAGAGAGAGAGAGAGAGAGAGAGAGAGAGAGAGAGAGAGAGAGAGAGAGAGAGAGAGAGAGAGAGAGAGAGAGAGAGAGAGAGAGAGAGCAGTATCGTGAATGGTAAACAACGATAACGATGGAGGGTACAAAAAAAAAACTTACGCCGGAGGCACAAACCTTAGTCGCACGCCACACATTTTTTTTTATCTCCTGTCGTCCTAATGTTGCCCCTTCATGATATTAAGGGATATTTCTGGCGCTGGTTTACTCTCTTTCAGTAACAATTTAAGCGATCTGGTATGCCGGTTATGTACATGTTCTCATACACACAAAAGTGTATGTATGTATGTATGTATGTATGTATGTATGTATGTATGTATGTATGTATGTATGTATGTATGTATGTATGTATGTATGTATGTATGTATGTATGTATGTATGCGCGCGTGCGTGTAGGAATGTATGAGCAGGAAAGTCACTTAGGTGAGGAACGTATTACGCATATAATTTATGACATAGCAGACAATTGCTATTTTGATTTATGTGCAGATTTCCTTTAGAATTGCACTGAAATGGTTTGCTTGCTGGCACAGACATACACTGTTACGTGGTGATTTGTAGTTATCGTTATGTAGTGGATGATCGACCACGGTATTATTGCCCTGATCGAGTATATTATAAAATAAAAACTGAAATTAATGGGTGGAATAACCAGAGACCTGATCGGAGATACAGAATAGAACAACACGATCCACCATGTCCAGAATAGAACAATTTAAAAAATTGTATAAATTATATAAACACAATAAAATTAAAAATGACATTTGAATTATACACTTTCTCTTAGAAATAAATTAATAAAGTTTATTAAAAAAAATGCAATTAGCCATTCTGTTTATACATATAAGACAAATTTAATCGTAGAAATGAGTTGACGATTGAACTCATTTGCCTAGCATGCTTGCATAACCTGGTTGCTTGCCGATGCTTCAAAAGTCAACGTTGATGACAGGTGTGAGTTGATGTGTACCTCTCTCTCTCTCTCTCTCTCTCTCTCTCTCTCTCTCTCTCTCTCTCTCTCTCTCTCTCTCTCTCTCTCTCTCTCTCTCTCTCTCTCTCTCTCTCTCTCTCTCTCTCTCTCTCTCTCTCTCCAGCCTCCTTTCGGGCCATCAATCTTAGTTTTACTCCTGTCTCTGCCTCTTTATGGGTACTGGTATACTTGTATGGAGCTATTTACCCTTGTTAAAATAAATAACAGACGACCTAACTATTTTTGTCAGGTTTCATCCTCCTGGGGTCGAACACTAGTACATTTATCATTACGTCAGATATTGTCTTTTCGTAATTCAGCAGAAACTAAGGCTAATATGGGTCATTTCGCAGCCTGGCAGCTCATTCACAAAGTCTATTACAAGAAGATTAATATCTCACAATAACGGCTACTCGGCATCCGCAATTGAATGATGATTTAAGCTAGGATTAATAAACCATTATTACGCTCTGCTGTGGACTTTAAATCACTAACTAGACTAAATTTCGACTGGCAAATACTCCTAATGTGCGTGTGTGATTTGGATTTTTAACGTAACTTTAAACATTTTTCAGCCATATTGCTACGATATCTGCAGTGTGGAAATTTTATAGTGATATCTATCACTGGGGCATCATCCTGATACTAGGCCGACCAGTCTTAACACTAACCTCTTAATGCTGAGCGCCAGGCAAGGCAACTGTTATTACCACTTTTAGTATGATTCGGCTGGGGATAGAACCCACGACTTTTCCTCATCCGAGGACCACGCTCTAACCACTAGGCCACCGTAGCGGTCAGCATCCTTGATGTTTATTCCGTGTATACTCTCTTAACAGAATTCACATGCATGCATGAATGTATGTATGTATGTATGT